AATTCGGTAACCTTGGTTGGTCAATGCTGTTACCAACCTCTCACGTTGCATCTCATTTAGGTCGGACTGCACTAGGAAGAGGAGAGCTAGGAGATTATCATTTAGAGGAAACGCTCTTCGATGATTATCAAGGCGTTCCTTGTTCCATGTTTCGAAGAAACGTGCGGCGTATGTGTCTCTCTCGGTTGCATCCTGTAGGCGCATGAAGGTTTGATCTGCCTGCACAGCCTGCATGAAATCCGGATGGGCATCTTCCAGAGCTATCTCTGGTAAGAGATCCATCCATGAGTTTCTCACGCGCTGTAGCACGATCTCAAACTTAGCAATCCAAGTCACAAAGTCTTGGTTGCCCTTCCATGCCTTGAATAGGCCGAGGAAACGCCACAGGAAAACGTACTGTTCTCCTTTCACGAAAAATGGACGCATCTTCTTCTTGAAGTAATCTACTCCATCTGGGGCTGCAAGCCTTTCTCGGTTGAGTGATTCTTTTTGTACTGCGGCCAATCCGGAGAGCCTCGTCTTGAGAGACGGACCTCTTTTGGTGTCATCCAGCGTTGTTATGTCGCACCAGTCGTCAATCAACTGTTCATACTCAAACCACGAGGTGGTGCCATCATAGGCAGGCGCGATCTTGGGCGTTATGCCTAATGATGCAAGCATGCGGTCAGATGTTGCATATGACTGTGCGACATAAGTAGCTGGACCTTGGGAGGTCTCTTCGTTCTCATATCCCCCGGAGGATTGGGAACTGCCGTCGGCTTCGCTATGCGAGCTCGACATTGTGCTGCCTCTTATCCGCTTGGTTAAGCGTTCGGCGAGGCCGACCGCTGTAGCGGACTTTGTGAGGCGGGCGGCCCTTTCCGGGCTCCGCTACCAGAAAACTGTGCCGATACACCCCCAAGGAATACTCCTTGTGAGGAGGTGTATGACCAGTTATTCCCTAAGGATCAAAGGGCAGCGCCCTGCACACGGACAGTAGTTGTTTTGTCTTGCTACGCAAGGAGAGCTTGTCTTGTCTCAATATGGTAAAACCACTGTGAGCCAATGGGCAGCGGAATGTATATGTATGAGCATGCAGCCATTGCTGTAGGTACCTGTTAGAGCTACCCCTTTAGAGGTTTATGGTTTCAAAGGGGTAGGGGCAGGGAAGGGGGGGGGGGGGGGGGGGGGGGGGGGGGGGGGGGGGGGGGGGGGGGGGGGGGGGGGGGGGGGGGGGGGGGTCCTCGACTCGAGACTCTGCAGTTTCACAGTCCTCGAGAGTCCTCGAGACCCATGGATGAGCCGAGCCGGTCTGCAGTTCCACAGTCCTCGAGAGTCCTCGAGAGTCCTCGAGACCCATGGATGAGCCGAGCCGTGTCTGCAGTTCCAGAGTCTTCGAGAGTCCTCGAGAGTCCTCGAGACCCATGGATGAGCCGAGCCGTGTCTGCAGTTCCACAGTCCTCGAGAGTCCTCGAGAGTCCTCGAGAGTCCTCGAGACCCATGAATGAGCCGAGCCGTGTCTGTCCTGGAGAGTCCTCGAGAGTCCTCGAGACCCATGGATGAGCCGAGCCGTGTCTGCAGTTCACCAGTCCTCGAGAATCCTCGAAAGTCCTCGAGAGTCCTCGAGACCCATGGATGAGCCGAGCCGTGTCTACAGTTCCACAGTCCTCGAGAGTCCTCGAGACTCCTCGAGACTCCTCGAGAGTCCTCGAGAGTCAGCCAAGGTCAGAGCCGTGTTTGGCTTCGATGCATTCCAAAGTAACGTTCTTCTATTTGCTCAAGTGACGGTGAGACACGGCTCGGGTCTCTCGAGGACTCTCGAAGACTCTCGAGGACTCTCGAGGACTTTCGAGAACTCTACCACTGCAGACACGGCTCGGCTCATGCATAGTTCTCGAGGAATTTCGAGGACTCTCGAGGACTGTGGAACTGCAGACACGGCTCGGCTCATCCATGGGTCTCGAGGACTCTCGAGGACTCGAGGACTCTCGAGGACTGTGGAACTGCAGACACGGCTCGGCTCATCCATGGGTCTCGAGGACTCTCGAGGACTCTCGAAGTCTCTGGAACTGCAGACACGGCTCGGCTCATCCATGGGTCTCGAGGACTGTGGAACTGCAGACACGGCTCGGCTCATCCATGGGTCTCGAGGACTCTCGACGACTCTCGAGGACTCTCGAGGACTGTGGAACTGCAGACACGGCTCGGCTCATCCATGGGTCTCGAGGACTCTCGAGGACTCTCGAGGACTCTGGAACTGCAGACACGGCTCGGCTCATCCATGGGTCTCGAGGCTCTCGAGGACTCTCGAGGACTCTCGAGGACTGTGGAACTGCAGACACGGCTCGGCTCATCCATGGATCTCGAGGATTCTCGAGGACTCTCGAGGACTCTCGAGAACTCTCGAGGACTGTGGAACTGTAGCCACGGGTCCGCTCATCCATGGGTTTCGAGGACTCTCGAGAACTGTGGAACTGCAGACACGTCTCAGCTCATCCATGGGTCTCGAGGACTGATTTCCGTTGAAGCTGCAGACGGCTGGTGTCACGTATGGACCGTATGGACCACTCATTTGCTCTGCTGACAAAGAGACGACCACATTCACATAACTTCAAATCACATAAATATAAATACAAATATATATCATGATTCATGGATTCATGAATCATAAATCTTAAATCAAATCTCCCTAGCGCACATAGTCAGACTTACATCACATAATCGCATAACGTAATTGCCTCACTGAAGAAAATAAGTCTCACCCCTGGTCAAGATAACAGCCGTATGACTACCGTGTGGGTACACCAACCCTGTTGCATTTCCTAGCCTCTACAGTTAGAAGTGTTAAATTCTATCGGCCTAACGTTTCAATTTTCACATCACAGAACTTTTTGGTTTGCCTAGTTACAAGTTAGTTATAAGTTATAAGTTATAATTTAGAAGTGATACATTTTTTAATATTGAGAATATTATTCTTATATTGACATTGAAACTATACGACTATACGGTTGTAACTACGCTATAGACTAGACTAGACTAGAACTATACTATTTTATAATTTATTTATAATTTATAATGTATAATTTGTAATTTGTAGCCCTCTCAAGCCGTGTCAAGCCCCAAACCCGAGCCGTGTCCACGCCAAAACCCAAGCCATGCCCCACTAAGTGAATAGGTGATAAGCATTCTAGGGGGCTCTCAACTTATATCAAGAAATCAAAATAGGGAACCTTAAAAATCAAGGTTTTGTATACGGTCCCTTACCTTTTTAAGGACTCTTGTAAAAAGAGATCATAATAGGGAACCCTAAAAATGAAGGTTTTACGCGGTCCCGCTACTCGGGGGTTTAGGGTTTAGGGTTTCAGGGCTCACGGTTCTGGAGGATGTTCCGAGTGAAAGCATACATGGCTGGCAGAGTTGATACATCTTCCACCACCGTTGCTGCAATGCTTGTTCCTGAAAACCTAATCCCTATCCTCTTGCTGTTGTCCTCCGTGTGTAATGGCTGAGCCTTGGAGCTGTGGACATTGGCCCTGATCTGATGCTCTAAATTTACTCAGACACTACATGAAGTTAAACACCACGTAACACCAAACCCGAAATTATGCTAAATCAGAACATCCCCGAACCCTAGGCAAATGACCCTAAACCCTAAGCCCTAAGTGACCCTAAACCCGAAGGCCCGATTATACAGCAACCTACAATCAAAGCACTAGCTCCACACGGGAACTTGGAGAGTAGCACAGCGGAATAAGTCGTCGAACACATCCTAAACCCTAAATGACCTAAAATCCTAAAGCCTAAATGATAACCCCAAGCCTAAAACAACCCCAACCACCAAGAAACCTTAAGCCTAAACCCCGACGTGCTACTGCAGGACTCCGACTCCCAGACCCTAAAGCCAAGACCTCTCGATGATCAAGACTCCGCCGCTACCCCCCCCCGTAAATCCCAGACAAAGCCATAGTCTCACGTAGGTAATTGCCCCTGCAGCTGGTATCTCTCTGGCTGATCTACATGCAACATGCACTGCTTCTCATCGCCGAAAGTGGTGTTGCAGTTGAAGTTGTGATTATCGAGTTGGTAGATTAGTGCAGCAGGCTTGTTGCGGCTGCGTGCCATCTGCACTTCTTGCTTTTCCATTGTCGTATATCAGGTCCGAAGGAGCCAACTCCTAAATCCCAGGTGGTACTTGGGAGACACTTTACCGGGGATCCTTCTTAATCCTACTTCCGGACTTTATCGACAGGGTCTATATCCCCAAGGGGCCCCCTAATCTTGACTCCTACTTAAACCCAGAGAGCCCAATACGCCTTCATTAAGGAACATGGCTTAAATTGTATAGGGCTTCATAATATGATTTATGCTATATTCCTTAATTAAGGGGTATTGGGCTCTCTGGGAACTGCATGTCCTGAGCGCATCTCGCCTTCCGTGGCCGGGGCTCATGGATCCTCCACGCCTTGGGGTGTATGGAGCATACCTAGCCCCTAAGTAGGGTTGAGGGTTTAGGGTTTAGGGTTTAGGGTTTTAGGGTTTAGGGTTTAGGGGTTAGGGGTTTAGGGTTTAGGTAGAATAGTGACCCAAAGCCTATAAAAGGCTACTATTCTATACATACTTTCAGGGTCCAGGTAGACGACGCCCTGGACCCTAAACCCCTAAGCCGCAAACCTTCTTTAGAGTTGACCCAGACTATGCATCCTCGCATCACACTTAGTAAGTAAGGTTGTAAGGTATAATCTGAATCGGAGGTATAAGTACTTCGTATAGTTACCATATCTATTAGCCTCGTTGCCAAGCCCCATGATCCTGTAAGTGCTCCCTTAAGAACACTTTAGAGATGACCCATACGAAGGATCCTTTAGGGTTGGGGTTTATGAAACTTAGGTTGCACTTCCGGATTTCTGCACAGGATAATTGGTAGAGTCCCTATCCTAAAGGCCCCAACACATGAAGCCCTAGGTTATCCGAAACCTTCATTTGGGGAGTACATAGGTCAAGCGAGAAATCACCCGATGAAGGATCACGGGCATGACGGTACCACCACGACCCTCTGGACACTGCTCCCCGGAGCCTCGGGGCGTAGCTTTGGGATTCGGTGCGAGCTTCCAGGGTTGGAGGAGGGTCTAGGAATTCTAAGTAGTTGTGTGAGTTATGGATGTATCAGGGGAGTTCACGGCTCGAAAAAGTCAGTACCCGGCGCAACTGGCTTCGCAGCTGTCACTGCTACTGCTCTCACGGGGACGGCGAGGACTATAATAGCTTCAGCTCTATCGCCATCAACTCCAGTGGGTGTGGGCTGTACTGTAGTGTGCAGCACTTGCGCTTGTGCGTCTCTCCGTTTCGTGGTCGGTGTTCAGGGGTTTGAGACGTCCTTTTCCCAGGAGCTGGCCGACATCTGTGTTTGGCTGCAGCTTGTCTACACCCTGGTTGACAAGATAGCCAGATGTCTCCTGAGTTTGGCGCCCTCAGCCGCAAACCCTAAATTAATCCTAAACCTCCGAAGGCCTGACGGCCCAGATCCCGAAATTCTCTAAGTATTAGACTCTGCGGCCGGTTGTCATGCCTATCTCGTTTAGGGTCTTAGGGTTTAGAGTTTAGGGGTTTAGAGTTTTGGGTTTAGGGTTTAGGGTCTGTGGTTCAGGGTTTAGGGGTTTAGGGTTTAGGGGTTCAGGGTTTAGGTTTTAGGGTTTCGAGCAATTGCTTGGATGTTTCTGCAAAGTACAGTAGGGCCCTTTGGCAATCCGCAGAAGACTGCGCCACTTTTGTGGCTATTGGCCTCGGTAAGGCTTCTAAACATAAGGCTGACTACGAGGGCTGAAGAACGAGAGAGGGTCCATGCACACAATATATATATATATATATGCATATGCACACACACACACACACATTCTACCGTTGCGGAAGAGGCGCCCAAAACAACATCCCTACTACGGGTGTGCGGAGTTGTTTAAGTAGCAGTAGTAAATATGGACCCTCTTGGTAAGGGTTCTGCAAACTTGCGAAGTCCATCGCCTGGCAAAGAGCTCGCATGCGACTCGCATGGTCATCGCGTCCGCTTTGTCTGTTCTGACGACCACGGCATGTTTTGGAAATGTTGTGCACCCAAGCTGAGCAATTCGTGTTGACGTCCTTCAAGTCTCATTGATGTTCAGTGCCCCAGCTATGAAAATCAAAACCCCAAAACCCTAAACCCCTAAATCCTAAACCGTGCTATCTAAACCTGAAACCCTGGTAGTTGCAGGCTTACGAAGAGCCGTCAGGCCCGCCCGACCGCTGTCGAGGCAGGTTTTGATTGTTTGGGACCCTAGGGTTTAGGGTTTAGTAAACCGTACCTAGACCCCCAAAAGTAGGTTAAATAATGTCCCAAAACCTGTGAAAGGCCATTATTCTACGTACTTTTGGGGTCCAGGTAAACCCGAAACCCTACAGGGTTTAGGGTTTGGGATCGATCTTCGCTCGAGGTTTTTCTTGCACGTTGTGAATCTGCGGTGTACAAAATCGCGGGTATTCCTGCAATGCCTCAGCCACTGAGCCCAGTGGCTCAAGATTTGATGTCCCTTCCAGACCCTCTCATACAGTTAGCTTCATGGTGGTATACACCAGAACAGTACGCTTCTGTGTTTCTGCAGCCTCAACTTGGCAAGGTTTTCCAACATCCCTTCCTTCGGGGCGTCGCCGACCAGGCCTTGAAAAACCGTCTCTGTGCGATGGATTCTTAGTGCTCATGTTCATCATCAGTGAAAACAAAATATCAGATCTGTGAGCATGATGGTGAGCACAGTCCTAACTTCACCTGGAAGCAGCTGCTGCCCAAAACAGTGTAGTGGATCTGAAGTCCTAAGCCGAGCTACAGGCACTCCGCCGGCGTCCAAAGGCAGTGGAGGCGACGTTTTCCCCTGCTTGAGGTAGCACGGATCTTGTCATATCTTGCTACCAAGTGAGGGATCAACCTTCGGGGTTGAAAAAGCTTCACAGTTCAGGGCATAGGATGCTAAGCCTCTCCTGCCGGCGTCATAGGGTGACAGAAGCAGCTATCATTGCAGTTTACATGGCCTTGGTAGAGGTTGGCATCAAGGTGCTTTGGCCTTGCAGACCTTACGAGGGGCCGCTGGTTTAGACTTTAGAATTTTCGAACTCGGCCTCCCGTCTCCCTGCGCTTGGTGTGGCGATCAAGCATCACAAGAGGGATGTGGGCATCAGGACAACGTGTTGGAGGAGCTGCCGAAATTAGTGCTAAGGGAAACCCGACCCGGAAACCTCTGTTAAAGTGCAGGCCGTGGAAGTTGCGCCAGCTCTTGAACCGGAAGATACCCCAGGCCCATTAGGGTTTCCAGCGGTTGATGTGCCAGAAGTTGGTCGTCAGGTTGTGGAGTTCACATGAATGCTGTGGGGACAGCAGAATTCGTGATTTATTAGAGTCTTTTCGCTATAGGCTTCGAGGCTTTCAGCTTGAGGAGAAAACTGCCGCACCTTGGGGGAAGCCTTGAGGCGAAACACGTTATTATGTTTACTCTCCAGGACCCCCAATGGCCCTGTAATCGAGCCCTCATGATCCTTAATTGTGGGTATTTGGGGTGTAATAGAGGGTAGTTGGGGGATCGCATCTAGGCTGATGGCTTCACTATGGTAGTATGGCATCGTCCAATATAGTAGGGGTGTCTGAGCAACGAGAGTTGTGGGAGTTTTGCCGCACATTCCACATACGCCCGAAAGAGTACTCAATGTAGATCCTCGCAAGAAGTGCTCAAGCGACAGAGGTGATGCAGAGCCCTTTGCGGCGACGAAGCGTAGGCGCAAACTCTAAACTTACTCCCTGATTGAATTCAACTCAGTATGCGGTAAATAACGCATCGACGATGGCTGTGATGCTTGTGATGGAGACTGCTCACAGTCGTACTCGCAGCAGCTACACTGCTCGCTGATCACTGAACACCTGAATCATCCTGAATATCCTCAAGCTCAATGAATGCTTAGTTATTATTCCAGAAGCCAATGATGATAAACCGAAGAACAATCAAAACAATCGCCTCAACACCGAATCGCAAGCCAAGGTGCTATGTCGGCCAAAATAGCTTGAATACGTTAAGGCTTTGCGGTTCAAGGTCCCCGTATCATAGTAGAGCCCTATGGGCCTATGGGTCCATGATGGTCCATGTAACCAGATAGTGTATACTTTGGCCTCCAAGTAGTCCCTAATTGGAAGGGCTCGATTGCACGGGTGACAGCTTGGATTCTTGCTAGAAGCTAAACCCTAAACCCCTAAACCCTAAACCGTTTAAACCCTTGCAGCCTAAACCCATAACCCCTAGGGTAGAGGTGTGGTAGAACTCGAGCCGCCTGATTGGGTCATGCTATTCTGGCTATAAAAGGGGCCTGAAGAATTACCTATACTAACACAGGGGTTCCTTATTATAACTCTATATTATACCCACTGAATAATTACTTATACTTATATGAGGGGTTCCTTATTATAACCATAAAGTATAATATACCCACCCAAACCCTATTCAAACTATTGCGGCCCCAATATTATGTTCTTCCTCAGTCGTGCAAGGGTTGAGCCGGAGTCGTGAAAAGTCGTACTACATACTCGCATTTAAGGTGGTTGGTAGTACCTATTGCCGTACAAGGGGCTGTAGTGTACAAGCCCCAAGGCAGAGAAGCCCTGAGCACAAAGCCTTGAAACTATCAACCCAACCCTAAACCCAGACATCCCTTAACCCTAAACATCCCTCAATCCCAAACCCCAAACCCCAACGACATCAGCACTCTGAGCCCGCAGCTCACAGGCGGCTATCCCAGTCGCACGGAGGTGGGCACACCGAAACGCGAATTTTTCCTGGGCTTTGGAGTACCATACTTTAATACTTTTTTGCTTAATGAAACCATTATGAAATAGAAGTTTATACCTTTTTCTCCCTGGTTACTTAAACGCCCAGTTGCTCAATCCAAAAAGAAGTCGTCAAATCCAATGAGACGGTTTAATTACCCACTGTTCACCTGACACCCTAAGCCCTCTGTAAAGACGACCCCCCAAATAGGTTTGAGCTTGAGCAATCACATAGGTGCCGCTTTGGGAAGCTTCCAACTTTCCTTTTCTATGTAGGTACTTATACCTGGACCCCAAAAGTATGTAGAATAATAGCCTTTTATAGGTTTTGGGCCACTATTGTACCTACTTTTGGGGGTCTAGGTACTTATTCATGAATACTTCCTAGGGCCCAAAAATTACATTATGGCATTAAGTCCCTCAAACCATAACAAGGATGGCTTTTTGGGACCTAATAAATAATGGTAGTATATGAGGAGCCTCTGGGAAGTAATCTTTGGGCCATTATTGTACCTACTTTTGGGGGTCTAGGTACTTATTCATAAATACTTTCGACTTAGCGGCTCATACCCTACCCCTCTTTTAGGACACCTAGTTTTATGGTTAGGATCTGTTATCTTAAAAAGTAGGTATCCCAAAAGAGGGGGTAGAGTATGAGCCTCTAGGTAGGGCCCAAAGATTACTACCAAGGAGTCGATAAGATACTCGAGTCGGGAGACTCTGGGCAGTCAGCCGGGCTTTTGCTGTGTCGTTCCGGGGTCCGATAACCGCGTTTAGAGCCTACCCTAAGGCTCCTCAGGGGGTTTTGGGTGTTCTGGGGGAGGGTTTCGGCTTTGAGGGTTTGGGACCTCACTCCAAGGGTCCATGAGCCTTAGGGTAAAGTCTTGAATCTCAAGTACCTGGACCTTTCAAAGTATTTAACATAATGGCCCAAAGCCTATAAAAGGCTATTATTCTACATGCTTTTGGGGTTCAGGTACATATTCTTTGTCGATTGGGGTTCCTTCTCGGCTTCCAGGGCGTATGCAGGCATGGGGTCTGCGTGTTAGGCTCTCATGTGCAGGTTCTGTCGGCTTACATCGGTTGGCTGTTGCAGTTAATGGGAATTGGCTTGGGATGTCACTTCAGCGTGCTTTGCTGGGGTATGTTCCGGACTCCTCTGTATCACAAGTCTGTGGGACCTACAGGTATTAATCACAATCCGGCGCTAATCATGCCGCCAATCCTAAACCCTGAACCCTAAACTCTCGATCAATGGTTGGACGAGTACCTGCCATGGGATCGCATACGGCTACGAAGCAGTATAGCAGCTGAACTCTAATGTTTTACAGTTGGACGGGTCTGCAATTATTCTACTTTTGTTTTGAACCCGCCTTCTATTGAGATGATAGCTGGAAAGCTTACTGCATTGAAGTTAGGCAGTCCCGAAAACCTGAACTGCATGCAAGCAACAGTCTGATGTCGGTGCTTGGATGTTGGAAAGACTTGATATATGCATTTGTATATACTCCTTCTGCATATTAACTCATATATATATATATATATATACATATAAGTAGACTACACATATGTGTGTATACATATGGGTGGGTCTCTCTCTCTCTCTCTCTCTCTCTATATATATATATACACACATAGAAATATCATATGGAGAGAGCTTTTCTGATTTCAGTGGCCTGGAAACTCACACGACAACTGGCAACCCCTTGGCATCTTCCATTGCCAGCGTCACGCATACAGGTTGATGCTGAAGCCCTAGACCCTAAACCTTCATGTGTTGTAGGGGCCTGGACCATGACCAAAACTATTTTGGGTGGGTTCCTTAATGTCTACTATATCCCCCAACCGTATTCTAATTGTTAAGGCCCGTTCATGTACCGACTAAGGCTAAACCCTAAACTCGCAACTCTTGACTCTGAGATCCTACCTATGGCACCCTGTAGTCTCCATAAGAGGTCCGCTTTCTGGTAAACACAGTTTACATGAGAGGATCCTACCCATAAAGAGCGACGAACCAGCCCTAAACCCAAAAGACCAATGAATTACAATGGAAACTATTGGTAAATCCAAGTCAAGACTAGCCCGATAAGCCAAAGCCCCAAAGCCTCAACACCGAACCATCTCCTCTACATGTAATTCAGAGTTGATTGCAGCCTGGACCCTGTGCCGAGTAGCCGAAACCAGTCAACGCCTTGACACCAGGAAGGTGCACCGAGGAAAGCTCGAGTGGCTTTCGGTGCCCCAGGCGGGGGTTGTTGTGAACGCTGTGAACGATCCCTCTCTTCTCGATGACCTCAGTGTAACTGGAAGACACTTTTATTCCGACCCGTGTGGCATGTAAACGCCATGGCCAGGACAGTAGCAGAATCCTTCTGGTAACAGACACTCGAAGGTAAGGCGCCCTTTGTTGTCGGTTTTGCGTGGGAATGGAACTTTTCCGCTACAGCTCCTGGCCTGCATACAGACATGCATGCATACGTACAAGCGTACATACATACATATGTATACATATATACATAAAATAAAACACTCTCTCTCTCTATATATATATGTGTGTATATTTGTATGTATATATAACACATGTATACATATATATATATATATATATGTATATAAACATATATGGATGTATGTATGTATGTATGTATGTATGTACAGTATCATATACTCCCCAAACATCACTCAGGCTGTAACTCTTAAGGTCCCTCTGTTGCACGCCGGGGCAGGCGATCCTCAGGAAGCGGTGCCTGCGGCAGCCGAGGCTCAGGCTGCGGAGCTTCGGGGCTTCGGATGGGTTTACTTGGAGGTTCAGGTGTAGTTATAAGGGTTCCTTTAAGGGTCTCTTTAAAGGGATCTGTAAGGATTCTGTAAGGGTATATAGGGTTTAGGGTTCCTTTAAGGGTCCCTTGAAAGGGATCTATAGGGATTCTGTAAGGGTATATAGGGTTTAGGGTTCCTTTAAGGGTCCCTTGAAAGGAATCTATAGGGATTCTGTAAGGGTATATAGGGTTTAGGGTTCCTTTAAGGGTCCCTTGAAAGGGATCTATAAGAATTCTGTAAGGGTATATAGGGTTTAGGGCTCCTTTAAGGGCTCCTTTCCGGGTCCTTGTAGGATTGTAGGGCTTGGGGGCTTCGGATGGGTTTACCCTGAGGCTCTAAGGACTCAGGATTTGATGCTTCTGGGCCCGAGACCATACTCTACAAGGCGTTTGGGCTGGTTTGAGCCTTAGGGTGAGGGCTTATAGTTTGAATATGGCCCAGACGATATTTTGCAAAGAATAGTGTTATCGTAATACGGCCCAAAATCCTGTTCTACTTATTAAGGCCCTATAATAACCCCAAGCCCTCAACACTGCAACTACTCTGTCTGTGTGTGTATGTATATATATATATATAGACATATATATATATATATAACAAACGTACATATACATAATATACATATCTTTATACATATATATATACATACATACATATGTATATGTATACATATGTACATATATATATATACATATATATATACATATATATATATATATTCATTCATTCTTAAATTATTCGGCTACCCTGAAGCTAGATGCGGACTCCTAGTAGTAAAGGCGGCCCTCGGGGCCCAAAGCGCGGGATTATTGAATTCTGATGGTTTAGGATTTTGTGGGTGTAGGGTGCTCTGTGCTGAGGTGGTGACGCAGGGAAAACTGCGAAACGTCGCCGTTTCGCAGAGCGAGCACTGAGGGTGCTGGCCGTGAATCAGGCAGTGAGCACGGCTGGCTTGCGCGAGCGCGGCATCGAGGAGGGCCCGGAGGAGAGCGACTCAGAGCCAGATCCGTGAGGCCACTAGCCGGATTCAGAGTTCGCTTCGGCACCATGGATGACGCGAAGTAGTTGCATCGTGTTGTCAGCTGCCCTACGGATTCCGCCCGGAGGCTGGTGTACAGATGGACAGGCATTTGGCAGCTCCGGCGGAGTTGTCCTGGTCATTGCACGACAGCGTGTGCTAATTTTAATAGGGTTTGGGCTTTATAGGGTTCAGGGGCTTTAGGGTTTAGGGCTTCGGGGCTTTAGGGTTTAGGGCTTAAGGTTCCTGGGGGCCTTTAGGGTAGCACGGCAAGCCGTTCTGAACCAGCATCAGTTCCAAGACAAGTAGAGCCATGAATACGCACTGCTACACGTCAAGTTTCCATGCAATCAGTGGCGACCCCGGCGATGTTCAGGACATCCAAACCGCTCGTGTGGCGGAAATCTTTGCCGGAAGGGGAAACTTGTCCGCAGCCTTACGTGAAGAAGGATTGCCTACTATCGAGTACGACCTCAACATTAGCACTGAGCACGACATGCACAGCCCCCGCAAGATGGAGAAGATCCGCGATAAGATCCTCGGGGCTCCCAACATCCAGTACGTACACCTCGCTCCGCCGTGCAACACGTTCTCCAGCACGCTGGCCGAAGATCAGGCTCGCTAGCACCGCTAGCACTGGTTCATTGCGGACTTGATTGACGCGTATAACAATACCTGCCGCTTGAAACACTCAATCATTTTAGTCGACGGTTGAGCTAGTACTAGCTCTCTCTCTCTCTATATATATGTATGTATATATACACATATATATATATATATATATATATATATATGTAATAGTACTAGTACCTAGTACTAGTGCTCGTGCTATATATGCGAAAATTACTGCCAGGACAGGGCCTAGCGGGTTTCGTGCTTCTTGCAGTGTTCGCTTTATTTGGAAGCGTGGTAGTGAGCTACATCTAGAAGCAGAGGTTAGGGCACGAATATTATTACAGTCGCTCGCTGTTCTCGGATTTTCTGGTTCTACGGGCCGGGGTTCATCGAGGGTAGTTAACACGTGGAGGCTTCGCTAGGCCTACTTGGAGGATCATGGGACTTAGTAAGTAAGGTTATAAGTACCTTAATTGGGGTTATAAGTATAGTTACCCTAGTTATAACCCTAGTTACTAAGTCCCATGATCCTTTAGTTAGACCCTATAGATCCCTTGAACCCCTATAGATCCCTTTTAAGGAGCCCTTTTAAGGAACCCCTATAGTTACTAAGTCCCATGATCCTTTAAGTAGGGTGTACGGTGTGGTTTCCAGTTTGGAGCCCTTGAAGGTCCCATTCCCAGAGACTCCAAAACCCCGTTAATTAAGGAATATACCTAAAAGTATAGTTGGAGCCCTAATAAAATTTAAGGTATATTACTTAATTAAGGAATATACCTAAAATTATAGTAGGAGCCCTAATATGATTAAAGGTATATTCCTTAGTTAAGGGGTTTTGGAGGCTCTGGGTTAGGCGAGCCCCCTACACCGGTTTCCGAACTCGCCGCTTCTCAGGAAGTTTGCTATGAGCTCTCTGGCTGCAGTTTGAGGAGGAGTTGTTTGGGCCTCTTAGGGTTTAGTTGATGTTCAGGGATGTTTTGACCTCTTGGGTTTAGTTAAGGTTTAGGGTTGGTCTGGCCGTGTAGAGTTTAATTAAGATTTACGGTTATTGCGACACTTAGGCCTTGAGTAGGGTTTAGCGTTAGCTCGCACCTCTTATATAATTATGCATCCAGAGGGCTTCTATCGGATAGTCGTTTGTCTCCGATCGATGGTGTCGAATTTTGTGTAGTCGATGGGGTCGGTGATCTAGATTCACGTCCGTTTCGTTCTTACCTAGGTTTCGGAGTCTGATCTTATGCCTGCAGGAACACTTAACCTTAAGCCCATGAAGCCTGACTTCGGTGGTCCCTTTGCTTCAACGTAAGCTTCAGAGTTGCTTGCTTCCTTAGTTAGGGCTTTATGGCTTGAAGATGCCGCCCACGCAGTGATAGTAATCACGGTTGGCATCAAATAATCTGGAAGTGACTGAAGTTTTGGCAGGACATCAAAGATCAGCCCATGCTCAGACTAGAGCGCGCAACAGAGTCGATGCCCACAAAGATGCACTGCAGTGTGACGGAAGGAAGCCTGAGTAGCAACTGTAGTGTTATCCCAAAACTAGACGGCACGTCGAAGCACCCAGTTCGAGGGCTTAGGGGTTGACGGTTCAGGGTGTAGGGTTTAAGGGTTTGGGGTTATCATTACCCCAAACCCTGAACCCTAAAACAGAATTAGGAAAAAAGGGTACCCTTGTTGTTAAGGGGCTACTCAGGAACTTAGCCTCTGTGTCACACCACTATAGTACTACAGTACTATAGTACTACATTACTATACTACTACCCTAAACCCTAAACCCGTAAACCCTAAACCCCCCTAAACCCCAAACCCTAAACTCCCTGAACCCTAAATACTATACTACTGTACTACTACCCCATTGGCCCCTCTATGCCAAGGCGGCACTTGGCACTCTCGCAGTCCCTCGGTGGTGCAGCCGGCACTCCGCAGTGCCTTCGAGCACAAGTATTGAAGTGTCAGCGAAATGAGGGTCTAGGGTTTAGGGTTTAGGGTTTGAGATGAATACCAAACCAAGCTTCGAACCCCCTAATCATCCATAAGCCCTTTTCAGAACTCAGCCCCTACTGCTTAGGGTGTATCAAAGGGGAAAAGGAGGGACCCTTAATGGGGACCCCTACCCTACAATGGGCTATATAATGGGTATATAATAGCTATATTAAGGGTATATACCTAGGGGTCCTTATTAAGGGTTCCTCCTTTTCCCCTTTGAGTTTATGAAGCTTCATGCTCCGAGGGATTCGGGCTTTGTACCTTCGAGTCAGGTCGCCATGAGCCCGAAGCACCGCCCGATTTGCTTCACTCCCCGAGACCATTCTATTATGGCGTGGGGGACCGGATTGCAAGGAGACTGAGCCCCAAATTCCTTTAGACGAACCTGCCTAGAGTCTCCATTGTAGTTCCTTTTTTTGGTTAACCATTTTTATGGTTACGATCCTATACTAGACATTTTGGTTAACCCCAAAAAGGGAACTACAATGGAGACCATAGGTAAACCTCCAAACCCAAAGCAAAAAGAATCAACCCCACACCCCCGAGGCTCTCGAGCCCCGGACTCTAAAACCCTTTAACTTAAGACCCTTATAGTAGTCTTTATAGAAGGTCAGCTTTCAGAAAAGCCCTCTACACTTCCATCAAACCAAACCTTAAACCAAACCCCTAAACCCCTAAACCCTAAATCCCTAACCCCTAAACCACTAAACCCCTAAACCGTGAACCCCTAAACTCCTGAACCCCTACACTCCTAAAACCCCTGGACTCCTCATCCCCGACACCCCTAAACCCCAAACCCTGAACCCTTAAAGAACCCGTAGGGAACCCTGAACCCCAAACCCCAAGCACCGTCACCTCTAAACCCCAAAACCCTATAGATCCTTATTGTAGAAGCCTTATAGATCCCTTTAAAGGAACCCTAAATCCCTAAACCCTACGTAGAGTCTCCATTGTAGTTCCTTTTTTTGTTACCCAGGTTTATGGTTAGGATCCTATAATAGAGATTTTGGTTAATTAACCAAAGAAATGAGCCACAATGGAGACTATAGGTTCTTAATTTAAAACAGACGCGAGCTTCCACAAGGAACTTGTGTTTAGTTAAAAACCGTTTTGAATTAAAAGCAGCCCCTAATTCCGCATCCCAATAGCTCCTTCTGGCTCCGGATCCGCTCGCCGAGGCACTGGCTGCGAAGCTTACGGAGATCCAAGGCTGGCAAACCCTAGACCCTAAACCCTAAAACCTTAAACCCTAGACCCTAAACCCTAAGGTGGCGCTTGGGTTTAGGGTTTAGGGCGTTTATGAAGGGGTCGTCGGACGATCCAGGAGAGACTGACGCGGGGATCCTTGCTCCAGATACAACACAGGGACGGACTAATTATGGTGTAGGGCGTTTAGGGTTTATAGGGTTTTGGGTTTAGGATGCTTAGGGTTTACAGGGTTTGGGATGCTTAGGGTTGGTAGGGTTTAGGGTTTAGAAGGTTTAGGGGGCTGAGGGTGTTTATGGTGTTTGGGGTTCAGGGTTTAGGGTGGTTGGTGGCTTACGGTTTAGGTGTTTCAGGGTTTAGGAGTTTAGGGTTTAGGGTGTGGGTTTGCCCAATATATCCCTGGGATCCTGGCTTTTGTAGATTTCTGTAAACGGTGTCGGAAGGTTTTGAATCCAATAAGTTTGGTTTTCATCCACAACATCAGAGGTCGTAGGTGCCTTAAGATGCATTGGTTTCGTTGCTGTAGTGACAGTTTCAATATCCCAGAGTCTGACGCTGCAGTGCTTACCAAGTGGCATGGCAATGCACTTACGCAGAGGGTCCATATAAACAGCCATTATGGAATTAGGTCCCGAAAGACCATCCCTGCTCTGGGTTTTTGGGACCTAATTCCACAATGGTAATACTTGGAAAAAGCATGATGCGCGCGCATCATGTTTTTGTTGACCATTTCAGGCCCGAAAAACGATGCTCATGATGCACGCTTCCATCTGGTTGGCCAGATTCTGAGGTGCATGGACTGCGGGATTGAGGTGGACACGGAGCGCAAGGATTGCCAAGCCTTTGGCAGTTTGTGGAAGTGCAACAAATACCACGGACCACAGTTCTTATCGATTCTGCCGTGACCATGTGCCCGGATGGAGTGAGCTCAGCGCCGAGACGAAGAAGTCTTACATCGTGGCAAACCGTGGTACAGGCGGGCGTGGCCGCAAACGAGAGTTGGTTGCCATTCAGGAGGTGGGCGGCCGAGCTAAATACATCCAGAACCGTGCGTGAGCACGCGCGCGAACACATGCGTGACCGTCACCCCGCTCAGTCACTCACTACGTACTTTGAGGGTCCAGGTAATTCCGCAATGGTAATACGTGTAGGTGGATCCCTGGCTTAAGGTACTCACGGCAAGCCCCAAGCCTGGTCTCGCAGCGCCCTAGGCCCTAAAACTACGGTGGATGATCTAAATCCTGCATTATCCATAATAAGGAATATGCCATAATTCCCATAGTTTAGGGTCCTTAAGGTAATGCAGGCTTTATATCATCAACCGTACTTGCTCCCGAACTGAACGGCCCTGAGCCCGACCCAGACCCCCCAAAGTATGTACTTCAACCCTAAAACACCCTTTAAACAATTACCCAGAGGCCCCAAAGTAGTTCCTCTTTGGGATTACCCTATAGGATTCTATGTACGAACCCCAAAAAGGAACTACTTTGGGGCCTTTGGGCAGAGCTAAGTGCCTCAGTACCAGGACCCACCACGTGCCCATCAGCCCCGTAGGGTCCTTAATCGTGGGTCTTTGGGGTATAATAGAGGGTATTTGGAGTATAATAGAGGGTATTTGGGGTATAATAGAGGGTAGTTGGGGTATGATAGAGGGTATTTGGGGTATAATAGAGGGTATTTGGGGTATAATAGAGGGTAGTTGGGGTATGATAGAGGGTAGTTGGGGTATAATAGAGGGTCTTTGGGGTATAATAGAGGGTAGTTGGGGTATGATAGAGGGTATTTGGGGTATAATAGAGGGTATTTGTGGTATAATAGAGGGTAGTTGGGGTATGATAGAGGGTAGTTGGGGTATAATAGAGGGTATTTGGGGTATAATAGAGGGTAGTTGGGGTATGATAGAGGGTATTTGGGGTATAATAGAGGGTATTTGTGGTATAATAGAGGGTAGTTGGGGTATGATAGAGGGTAGTTGGGGTATAATAGAGGGTCTTTGGGGTATAATAGAGGGTAGTTGGGGTATGATAGAGGGTAGTTGGGGTATAATAGAGGGTAGTTGGGGTATAATAGGTATATCGTACTTGCACCCTCGGAAAAGACAGGTGAAACCTCTGGATGCTGCGGATGTCGTGGAGGAGCCTGAGGAAGCTCTGGCAGACAGGCCTTTCGAGGGGTTGCTACGAGGATCTGACAGGCAAAGTAAACGGGTTCTTTAAGGACACTACATGGGCATTTAGGGTGTAGGAGTTGTGGTTTGAGGCTTGTTTTTTTCTCCAAGAGTTTTTGAGTGTGGTGGCATGACGGTTGAGGCTGGATTCGATGGGTTCGGTGGCCTCTATTTTGTGATGGGGTGTGTTTGCGAGCAAGATGCCTCGGGTGTGGGATGCAGGTTTGGTTTCGTGTTGTGCTGATAAGCTCGAAGTTATTGACATATAAACCCTAAATCTGCACTCGAACCACCTTTGAGCGACGAAGCCCTCTATCTGAGAGTTCGAAGGTGCTATCTCGGTACTCTGAGCCCTTCAAACTAAACCCTGCCCGCGCTGAGCCTTAAAGTGTGGCTGGATGCACCTGATCCTTTTGGATCCACATTGGGACGTGGAGAGCTTCCCATTTGCATAGAGATCGCCTGAGTCAGCAACCACTATAATTACACTCTCCGTTTGGATTCCCGATAGTATGCCTTGACCCACCGCAGCCTGTAAATTAGGGTTGAACGCAAAAGGTTTAGTAGCACCACCTGAAGCTACGTGTACCGAATTAACCTTCTAGAGTTGATCTGCAAGCACTGCCTTCCCGTAAGCGCTGAGCCTCGACGTGTTTGCCCTCCCCCGAACAAAATCTTTTCCTTAAATCTCAAGCCCTGACTAGATCCCGAACCGTCCTAACTTTTAACCCAACATCCTAAACACCAAGCCTAGCCTTTCGTTGGAGAAGACACAGGAGCGTGGTTATTGCTTTGTGCTTGAGGCCCTGAGGATCTGGGTTCAGCGAGGTAGACTGGCCCCAGGCTTTGAAGTAAAATCCCAAACACTAAATCTTCAGGGTTTAGGGGTTGTGATGCTCTGGGGTTCAGGCTCTTTGCATAAGTAGCTGCTTTGCCTTAGGACGACTTGTTTAGTTGTCTCAGCATCGACATCAATGCATCTGACGCCAAGTCCATGAACCTAAGTCTTCTTTTGCGGTTTCAGAATAAGAGGCTGTTTAGCATATTCGTCTTCTGTTTCGTGTGATTTCTGCTGTGAGCAGCCAAAGAGTCTAAACCTTAGGTCCAAACCGGAAAAACAATTGCAGCGGCAAGGGAGCAGCACGAAAGGAGTGTTTTTGCACCTACTTGCAGACTTCTGGCTGTCCAAGTCCGTCACCACTTTGGAGAAGTGCATGGTGGCAGAGAAGAAAAATCCGACCTGCTTTGGAGGTCTTGGTTCCGTCATCAAGCATTCCACCCAGACTGCTTGGGAGGAGTTTGACATGACGAGCTTATGGTCCTTGGATACTTAGGAGGATCATGGGACTTAGTAAGTAAGGTTATAAGTACCTTAATTGGGGTATTAAGTAGTTATAAGTGTAGTTACCCTAATTATAACCCTAGTTACTAAGTCCCATGCTCCTTCAAGTAAAGTCACCTTTGCACTCCTGGGCCTCACAGTCATCCGGGCAGCATGGCGCACGGGCATCTTTCAAGCCGAGCGAGCCGAAGGAGCTGCCCAGAGAGCCCAACACCCCTTAATTCCGGAATATAGCTTAAATCATAATCTGAATCCCCTTATAATTTAGGGTATACTCCTTAATTAAGGGGTAATTATTAGGCTCTCTGGGTGCCCAAGAAAACATCCGAAGTAGCGGCCGCACTCGTCGGAGGCGGCCTCGCCAGGAGGCTCCTTCGGGTGCTGACGACGGCTCCAAGAGGGACAAGGCTAGGGAACCCAAGGATTTAGGGTTTAGGGTTTAGGGTTTGTGAGATCCCAGATCCTCAGGGGACGTAAACCCCAAAAATCTCAAACCCTGGACCCGAAAGGAACGAGCCTGGCGTCTCTCCATGTGCTGGTGCTGCCGGCTCTCCTCACCAGTGCCTGGACCTTCCTGTGAAAGGGGCGTCCTGACAAGGGTTCTTGCTGCGTTCGAGTACTTGAACTATATACCAAGGGGTTCGACCGTTTATTCAGCTTCGAGATGGGTGTGGGCAGCGTTTTACATTCATCCCTGAGTCTGAAACTCGGCATTCCAAATGCAAACCCTAAGGAAACCCTCCCGATCCGGTCCCGAGGGCTGTATCGAACTGCAAAGCCGAGGAACAACACTTAGGGTTTAGGGTTTAGGGTTCTCATTGAGGTTTAGAGTTTTCGGGTTTAGGGTTTGCCAGGACCCCTTCAGTAGAGCCCTTGTGGTCATTAATAATGGTATTTAGGGTAATTGGGGGGTCTGGGTAGGGTTCCAGCTTCGTATAACTCCTGGATGGAGATGAGGCATCCGCTTACTTGAGTTACTACTTCGATGCGGCTTTAGTACAGGAGCCTAAATGGTTACCAGCACTAATTCTGGGTGTTCCTTATTATATTGGTAGCAAGTATTCCTCAAAACCTCTTTTCTAAGTATGAAGGCCCCTGTATTGCGCTGGTTCGGGATCCCGGAGCCTTGAAATGCGCTCCCCATGTTCTGGAACCTCAGTAGTTTGGGTCTGGATTGCGACATCCTCCCATCGTGTGGTTTAGGGTTTAGGGTTTAGGGTTTAGGGTTTAGGGTTTAGGGTTTAGGGTTTAGGGTTTAGGGTTTAGGGTTTAGGGTTTAGGGTTTAGGGCCCACAGCAGTATTCTTGTTTTTTGGTTGGCCCATCCGGAGACTTCGGACCAACTAACAGCCTCACAGACTCAAATCCTTAAAGCCCTAGCTGCTACAGCTGTCGACAACATCAACAACAACAACAGCCCAAAGTCTAAAAGCCCATCTGCACTCTACAGCATATATACCGTACGTACCTGTGATAATGTAATCCGTACCCGAGCCCTGAGGCCTAAACCCTAGAGCCCTAAAGCCCGAAAAGCCCGCTGCTCGAACCCTAAACGCTCCAATTTTCTTATCTCCAATTTCGAAAGCGATCACCTCACATACACACATATCTTAAACTCGTACCTACAAACGTGCCTCCCCCCCGTGGAGGTTTATGTGTAGTTATAAGTGGAGTTATATGTAGGGTAACTAGAACTGTAACCCATATGGGGGGGCGTATGGCTCCACTTAGCTACCCCTAAACCCCTAAAGCCCCTAAACCCTCGATCCGCGTATAACTACCCATGAGCCTCCAACCCTAAATGCTGAACCCTAAAACCCTGAAACCTTAAAACCCTAAAACCCTAAAACCCTAAAACCCTAAACCCTGAAACCCTAAAACCCTAAAACCCTAAACCCTAAACATTCTAGAATCTGTTACAGATCCCTTTAAAGGAACCCTATAGATCCCTTTAAAAGAGCCCTCAACTGCGAGCCCTAAACCCCTAAAGCCCTAAACCCAGGTGGCTTCGTAAGTCGAGATCCGACAAGGCCCCGTCCTTTTCTGCAGCCTCGGAAGGGTCGGTTTTGGATGATTGGGGGGGACCGTGTTCAGCTGTGCTGAATGATATGCTCTTTACATATATATATATATATACACATGCATACATACATGTCTATATACAGAACAATTTATGTATGTGTGCATATATAGTCATATGTATATATATATATATACATACATGCGCAGGTACGTCCCGAACCCAGAACCTTGACACCTCACTAGTCTTCATTCGTAGCATTTCTCTTTTGTTCCGAGGTCTCGTGGTTCTCATGGTATCTAGATCCAGGATGATGGCCGTCACGGCTGCCACTCATGTGACAGGTGTTTCTGTATCGTATGTTTGCAGACTGGATGGGCTGATATTTGTTCCTAGGGTGCTGATACGTATCCACAGGCTCCGATCAGAATGATTTTCCCGCTTCAGAGGAAGAAGAACCCCTTAGCTTTCAAACCAAATCCTCCAATCTATGACGAAGTACTCTGATCTAGGTTGGGAGTTCAGTGATTTCTGAAAGCCCTAGAGCCCCAACTCCTACATCCTGAACCCTAAGCCCTAAACCCAAGAGCCTTGACCCGAAACCGCCTTGAGCTGAAACCTCTCTAAGCCCCAAATCGCGTCTATATGCCTTACATAAAGGAGCCAAGGAGCAACCCCAAAGCCGTCTGCCTCGAACGTTAAAGCCTAAACCTTAAATCCCTAAAATCAGAACCCTAAACCCTAAAAACCTAAACCTCAAATCCGCAGACTTCGTCTAAGGTCTCGGATGCCCTAGAAGACCTCTGAGGCTCCAAAACTCAAATACAAACCATGTAAAGAATAACGTGGGGGCCTTCTTAATTAGAATGGGGTTTTGGGGGTATACAAGAATTTAGAAGGATATGATTCGTGTTTTACATGTGATAATAATACTACTTGTAAGGTGGACATGGGTTATAAACAATTAAGTTAATATTTATACTATAGTTACAACAAGGAGCCCCCAAAGTAGTATTGGTAACTATTTGGGCCCCGATACTAGCCCTGTAAAGGAGCGCACTAATAAGAACATCTAAGAACAGTAGCTTGGGATTCCAACTCCTTCAACCTAAGCCCTGAACCCCACCTGGACCTCAGGTAACTTAAGTGCTTCAGGACTTTTATACGGAACTCATTTTCAGGAACTAGGTTTTATCGGGCAGGTAAACCCTAAAGCCCTAAACCCCTAAACCCCAAACCCCCAAATTTCGAAACCCGTAAACCCTAAATCCCCAAAGCCCGAAACCCTGGACCACCAAGCCCCAAAGCCGTAAAACCCAGGCCAAGCTTCCGAGCGCAGCGCCAGAAGACGAATCGCCAGAGCGCCCCGGCTTGGGGATTGTTTGCAACCCTTACCTGGGCCCTACAAAATGGAGGCTCTAAGAACTCATACGACTGATCATATAAATCCTGCAGTACCCAAAATGGGGCATATACCATAGTTCCGATAGTGTAGGGTCATCAAGGTAATGCAGGTTTATATCATCAACCGAAGGACTCATACTGTTGTTGGACAATCTCCTCATCACCCAGTATAAGGAATATACTATAGTTCCCATAGTTTAGAGTCCTTAGGGTCATGCAGGATTTTGTCCATCAGCAGTATAGATTGGTTTTAGATACCACTTAAAGGATCATGGAACTTAGTAACTAGAGTTATAATTAGGGTAATTTTACTTTATAACTACTTATAACCCCAATTAAGGTACTTATAACCTTACTAAGTCCCATGATCCTCCAAGTAGACCCTAAACCCTTATAGATCCCATTATAGGAACCCTTATAGATCCCTTTTAAAGGAACCCTAAACTCTAAGCCCTCACCTTACTTACTAAGTCCCATGATCCTCGAAGCAGATGGCCTTTGGGCCGAAGGACCATCCTATGTATTTAAGGCTTTTGGGAAAAGGAGGGACCCTTAATGGGGACCCCTACCCTATAATGGGTAGATAATAGCTATATTAAGGGTATATACCTAGGACCATCCTATGTATTTAAGGCCTTTGGGCTATGTTGGGCCTTAGGGTAAGGCTTCATTCAAAGGGAAAAAGGAGGGACCCTTAATGGGGACCCCCTACCCTCTAGTGGGCTATAGGATGGGTATATAATAGCTATATTAAGTGCATATACCTAGGGGTCCTTATGAAGGGTCCTCAAAACCCTAAATCTCAAACCCTAATTTCACCCTAGACACCCCGAAGCCCGGTGCTCTGGAGTCAAAAGCTTAAGCAACCCTAAACCCCAATCCTAAACCCTAATCCCCTAATCCCCTAAACCCTAAGCCCTTACCCCTAAACCCCTAGACCCTAAACCCTAAACTTCATGCCTAAACCCTCCCCAAATCCCCGTGCTCAGGAGTCAAATAACCTTGCGTTTGGCACCCGAAGTCGCGGACGGCGAGGACAACACCTGCGCCATTCTTCAGGCAGAGGCTGCCGCCGAGAGCGTGTAGGAGGGCAATGGTGTAGAGTATATGCGGCGTATAGTGTAAAGGGTACTGGGAAACACGGCATAAGGGTCTGGGTATAGGGTGGATGTTGCATCCTGCTTCTTGCGGGCTTGGTATGTCGGTGCGAAGTTACCGTTTTAGGTTTATTTCTAGGTTCGGGGCTTTTGGGCCTGGGATTCATCGCTGTTTTGTAGGGCTGGCATTCAACCTGCCCAGCAAAAGCTGAGCCACCAACGTTTCTCTCTCCATTTCAAGCCTTAGATTCCAGCGCTTTTCGACAATGCTTTCGGGCAAAACCGAGTGGGTTGATGAGAATGTATGCTTCCTTGACCGTGTCACAAAAGAGTCGCCTGCAAGCCATGCCGTTCAAGTGAGGCTTGCTTCCGTAGCCTCCATGCCAAGATCACAGGTTACGATGCCATCCGGAAATCTATCTTTCCCCATGAAGTTGAGGACAAAAGGAACCGACACTCCAGCAAAGCCCAACAGGCACACGCTCTGGCAAGACAAAACGTGCAAAGAAGCGAGATGTTGCAGCAATTCAGCAGATTGATGGTGACGATAACCTCCACATCGTGGAGTCACCCCTCCCCTCCCTGCCCCCCTTTCGGGGTAAAGATTTCTTTTCATGCCAGCCCCCTTGTGCGCGAGCCCGAAAGTCTACACTCTAAATCTAAAGAGTCGAGGCTGGATTTGCTGGCTTTGGGGAGACTGCGTCGTGTTCACCGTAGGTCCTGCACCGCGCAAAGACTAAACCGAGGGCATAAGCGAACTTCGGCATTAGCAAACTTCGGCTTCATGCTAAGCATAAATTGTGCAGCGTAAACCTGCCTTAGGAAAGCTCTCGCAACTGCCCTGTTCAACGATGGCAAGCAACTCAGCCCGGAACCCTACGCCGCAAGCCTGGGACCGTAAACCTGAAGCCCTATTTCGTAAACTCTAAGGCCTAAATCCTAGGCCCTAGGCCCTGAACCCTAGGCCCGTCTAATTGAGCCCTAAACCCTATTTCCCTAAACCGTAAACCTTAAGTCCTAAACCCTACGAACTCCTGAACCCTGAGTGCTAAAGCCCTAAAGCCGTTGAACAGGTGCTGCCGGGCCCTTCTGTTCTTTCTGCAGCCGCAGGTCGCTGGGACGGAATATTGAGGATAGTTAAACAAAGGGGCGACAGCCTAAATAATGAAATCTAGATTGAGTTCCTTAGGTTTCGTTAAGAGGACATGACATGAACAAAAAAAGCGTTCCTTGATTATGCTACTGTAAGGTACCATAGTGGGCTCTGTAGTAAATGATATGGTTTCCTTATTTTGGGAACTTGACTAAATCCCTTAACAAGAACCCCCGAAGGTTCCGAAGTATCCAATACTTAGGTACTCGGGTTAGAGATAGTAGTTATGTAGGTTACTATTTTGAAGACCATATGAATATTGGGTACTTCGGTTGATGATATAAATCCCGCATTACCCATAATAAGGAATATACCATTATTCCCATAGTTTAGGGCCCTAAGGTAATGCAGGATTTATATCATCAACCGTTGGACCGGGTTTTGGTTGGCCTTTGGGGTTGTAGGGCTGTTGGATTGATGGCATTTAGGTACGGCCCCCACTCAGCCATAGTTGAATAACCTTAATAGTAGCCCTAATACCCTAAACCCAAACCCCAAACCCTAAACCCTAAACCCCAAACCCTAAACCCTAAACCCTAAACCCTAACCCCTAAACCCCTAAACCCCTAAACCCTAACCCCATAGACTCTTATTGTATGGGGGGCCGTAGCTAAGATGGCATGTATAGAGTTTCGGGCTAAGAGCTGGTTCTGGAAACTGCGACTATTATTTAAAGGATCATGGGACTTAGTAACTAGGGTTATAATTAAGGTAACTGCACTTATAACTGCTTATAACCCAATTAAGGTACTTATAACCTTACTTACTAAATCGCATAATCCTCCAAGTACTGTATAACGACGAGTAGAACTGCATTTGCGTTGCTATCTACTGCAGGCTTCGGGTCTGCGTCTACTTAGAGGGGCAGGGGACTTAGTAAGTAGGATATAAGTAGAGATATAAGTTACCTGAATGGAGTTACCCCAGTTATAACCCTACTTATAAACGACTTACGAAGTCCCCTGCCCCTCCAAGTAGGTCTTGCCTGCAAGTTGTCTGCTGCTCATCTACCTGTAGGTTATCTGCCACTGCCCGCACTCCTCGAACCCCGAACCTCTGCAGTCCGTCTTAGTACCAGGGGAGGCAACCTTTAACCTTTTGTGGGTACTATAACCTCTCTTTGTAATAGTATAGTCTCAAAAGTGAACCTTTGGTTCGGATGAGATACAGGGCAAGTAAGCCTTGCAGCCACCCATGAGCTTTCGAGTTTTGTGCGACACAAAGGTGGCGAACGTGCACCGTCGAAGTCGGTTCCCAGGAGCCACTTGCTCAGATTCCCCAAAATCCCCCCAAAAGCACGGGCCTTTCGGATCCAAGGCGTTAGGTTGATGTAGGTTTAGGGCCGTTTAGGGTTTTCGTCGCGGGTTTATACGGTTTGGGTCACGCAAGCTTCTTACGCCTTCGGCAAGATCCTGCGTTTTATCTATGCTTTGGCACTCTTGTCAGTTGCCTTTCATAACACATGAAGGGAAGCATTACCACATTCGAAAAGTTGTAGCTCACTACAGCGCCCGCAGTAAGTTTAACTGAAGATGTTGAATCTCAAATCCTTGTAAAATGCCATACCGACACGGAGCTTTTCACCCGGGCTGCTGTCCGAACTGAAAGCAAGAACAGCCCACTAGCAACCCATCACAAAAAATATTGTCGAACGCATATCCCATTCTGCTTTGTTGATTGTGACTGCACTGGGTTCTTGGTGCAAGACTGCCCGGGACGTCTCATAAACTTTGAGGTGTAGGGGTGCCTTGAATCCCAGAGCTTGCTTGGCATGTGCAGACCAAGTCCCCAATGCCTCAATCATTTTAAGGAAGATTTTCTTGTTCAGCCCAAGTGTGGGTGGCTCTAAAGTAGTCCTCCGTTCATGAGCCTCGTGTACGAGCATCTGAATTTCGAGAGAGCTGCTGTCAAGGCAAATCCTCTTCTGCATTGGAGACGAGGACGGACTCTATGATTGGGTGTAGCTGACTTAACTTCATGAAGTTCAGGAACGGACCTCATACCACGATTGTTCCACGTATCTGAAATTGAAGTTTTAAAAGTCTAAGGCCACAGGTGACAGGTACTCGACTTCTTAAAACTGTCGGAAGTTTTCCTGCAATATGCTTATGAGACCCTTGCACGGAACACCGCTATAATCTTAGTCACGAGTCCTCGATTCCCTTCAGCGTCTGTCGATTCTACGTAGAAATCTCTACACCCTAAATCCTAGACCTACACCTTAGTCCGTAAAGTCCTCAATCTCCTTTCATGGAAACGCAACCAGACATTCTGCTCTTTGGCCGCTCTTGTGTGGAAGCTGCTTCCAGGGACCCTCAGCCCACATGTCTCTCTGTGTGCTAAACCCTAAACCCTAAGCCCTAAGCCCTAAACCCTAAACCCTGAGTTTTTGTTGTGTGTTTTTTATGTGTTTGTTAATGAGATTGGCATGATTCAAGAAGGGTTGCAGGTATCTTGTTTAGTCAGTTGATATTTTCCGCACATGGGCCCCTGGGAGCCTGGGACCCCAATCATCATTCTTTCAATCTAGGGTTTAGGGTTTAGGGTTTAGGGGTTTAGGGTTTAGGGTTTAGGGTTTAGGGGTTTAGGGTTTAGGGTTTAGGGGTTTAGGGTTTAGGGTTTAGCAGCTCTGGTCGAGCAGTCTCTAGTCAAGTTCGCTAGTCAGAACTTGGAAGAATACCCACCCACCCAAAGAATCCCAAAACATAAGAGTTAGAAAGTTTTTTTCGTTACCCTCAGACGACATCAAACTTCAAACCCTACAACTCGATTTCTACGGATACTTATGTTTCTAGTGCTGCAGTATAGACATGCCTAAACCCTAAATTCCCTATGGTGTCAACACCCTTGCCTGCTTGTTCTAAGTAAAGCAAGTGAAGGACTGAAGTCGCTGCTGTCGCTAAACCCTAAATTTTCCATGGTGTCAACCGGATCGAGCAGTTTTAAAGTAGGGTTGTGTTTACGGTTTAGAAATAACACCCACCCACCCTTAGAATCCCATAACATCAGGGAAATACAAAGTTTCACTTCTTTCGCAGCTTGAAACCTTAAACCCTGAACCCCTAAACCCTGAACCCTTAAACTTCGGACCAAGCTTGATGAATTCGCGGATGAAGGCCCAACCTTCAGACCAACCTTAATGAATTCGCGGATTAAGGCCCAACCTTCAGACCAACCTTAATGAATTCGCGGATTAAGGCCCAACCTTCAGACCAACCTTAATGAATTCGCGGATTAAGGCCCAACCTTCGACCAACCTTGATGAATTCGCGGATTAAGGCCCAACCTTCAGACCAACCTTAATGAATTCGCGGATTAAGGCCCAACCTTCAGACCAACCTTAATGAATTCGCGGATTAAGGCCCAACCTTCAGACCAACCTTAATGAATTCGCGGATTAAGGCCCAACCTTCAGACCAACCTTAATGAATTCGCGGATTAAGGCCCAACCTTCAGACCAACCTTAATGAATTCGCGGATTAAGGCCCAACCTTCAGACCAACCTTAATGAATTCGCGGATTAAGGCCCAAGCTTCAGACCAACCTTAATGAATTCGCGGATGAAGGCCCAACCTTCAGACCAACCTTAATGAATTCGCGGATTAACCTTCAGACCAACCTTAATGAATTCGCGGATCAAGGCCCAAATTGAGGTTGGCCTGAAGGTTGGGCCTTAATCCGCGAATTCATTAAGGTTGGTCTGAAGCTTGGGCCTTAATCCGCGAATTCATTAAGGTTGGTCTGAAGCTTGGGCCTTAAACCGCGAATTCATTAAGGTTGGTCCGAAATTTTGGGCCTTAATCCGCGAATTCATTAAGGTTTAAATTACTATATGATATATTTATTTATTTAGGGTTTAGGGTTTTTAGGGTTTAGGGTTTAGGGTTTAGGGGTTTAGGGTTTAGGGTTTTAGGTTTAGGGTTTAGGGTTTAGGGTTTAGGGTTTAGGGTTTAGGGTTTAGGGTTTAGGGTTTAGGGTTTAGGGTTTAGGGTTTAGGGGTTTAGGGTTTAGGGTTTAGGGTTTAGGGGTTTAGGGTTTAGGGTGTAGGGGTTTAGGGTTTAGGGGTTTAGGGGAAGCATCCACCCAGAAGCCTGGACCTTGGACCGTAGGTTTAGAGGGCCGTTCTTCCGTACCGCAGGGCTCAAAAGTATCCGCCAGCTGACCAACCTCATAATTACCCTGGACCACAATGAACCCAAAGACCCCGAACTGCTAAACCCTGTACACCCCAAGCCGCGAAAGCCTTAGTTGGAGCTTCATGGGCAGTTATAAGTAGGTATAGTTAAAGCCCATTTTGGGGGAATAGAACTCCACTTATTAAGAACCTCCAAGCATCACCCGAAAATTCCAATCCAAAGCCCCTCCTAAACCCTAAACCCTAAATCCCAAACCCTAAACCCTAAACCTCAAACCCTGAACTCGAGATGCCGATCCTAAGCCCGAGAGCCTGAACCCGAGAGGCAATACGCCCCGAGCTGTAAACCCCCTAGGCCATCTGAGCCCTACCTGGATCCCGAAAGTACTAGGTTTGTTTTTATAAGGGGTTTAGGTCAATCTAAGCCCTGAGCTTTGAAAACACGGATGGAAGCACCTCCCTAAACTCTAGACCATGGGCCATGGCTCACTTGAGCAAGAAAGGACCGCGTCCTTGGAGCCCTATCGCAAGAAACCCTATGCGGTGCAGCCTCCGCCGCTGAAGTTGGGGACCGGGTTTGGGTAGGGCTCAGGGTTAAAGGTTCAGGGTCCTTAGATTGAGCTCAACAATGGAAAGTTCCCTACATTGTCCCTACAACAGATTAGGAGTACCTGGATCCCGAGGGTATGTAGAATAGTAGCCTGTTGTAGGCTTTGGGCCATTATGTCACATGCTTTTGCTGGTTGGGTAGGGCTAAAGGTTTAGGGTTTTTGGTTTAGGTTAGGGGTTAGGGATTAGGACTTGAGCTTAAGGTTGGGTTTCGAATTCGGTGTTGAGGGTTCAGCGTTTGGAGGATCTAGTACTTGACTTAAAGGATCGAAGGATTGATTTGAAGGGACGTCGCACCTGCAATATGAATACATTGATGTCTGTAGCTCTAAGAGTCCATGTATCCACACCGCATTTAATTTGGCGTTAACTTACTCCTTACTTAGGCACGTTAAGGCCAACGTAGATACTGAATCGGGACATAGACCCTGAGGGTAAAGCCAGGCTCAGCGGTAAGTCCTAATGGTCCTAACATGGGGTTTAGGGCCGTTCGAGCATAGATCTTACCTACGGTCTCATTGTAGTTCCTTTCCCTAAGACTCCATGTGCCTATATAGTAGGTACATAGGCCTTAAAGGGGTCCCTATATAGGTGCTTTCAGGCCTAAGTATCTACTACAGTACATGGAGCCTTTGGGTTTGGCGAGCCAAATTTGAATGAGGATCCTCACAATGACACTTGGTTAACCAAGACAAAAACTACAATGGAGACCATATATGGGTAGAGTTTGGAATTGGAGGTGTTTGGACGTTGGAGGCAGGTTGTGATGCTGAGGACGGGAAGTGCAGCTGCTTATATACCGAGAGTCTTATAGTGGCATCCGAACCCATGAGTGTTGAGTTCAGACGCATACTCAGAGTAGAACCGCGGGCCACGGTTTAGGGGCTCAGGGGCGAAAGGGGATAGGATTCAGAGTGTGTGGCTTTGGGATTGCGGCTGGAAGCCTGCTTTCCCTTTGCGCGTCGAAGATTAAGCGTCAAAATGTCAAGTCTAAATAGTGCGGCTCGTTGCTGCATCAGCGTCAGTCGAACGGCTGGTGCATAAGCCGAAATCCTGCAGCAACCGCCGAAAGCTTGAAATCCCTGAGAGAGGGTCTCCAACAAACCGCTTTTGATGATCGAAAACCATAAACTTAGGCCCCTGCCCGATAGCTTCCGATCGCCCTTCAGGGCTCTACAGTTTCGGGCTTTGGGTACTTAGGGTTCCCTAAACCCTAAACTCCCTAAGCCGTACACCCGAAACAACCTGACTCTATCTTCAGTCCGCAGGAAGCTTCACTTGAGCGGCGTACGCACACCGTCAGCGCGGCATGAGAAGGAGCAGCGAATTAGCTTGGAGATACATGCGGAGTTCTGAGTGGATATATAACTGGGGTAACTATACGTATAACATCCTGCGACTACAACTCATGTTAGGGCACTTTTCCCTGCACTTGCAACTACCCATGAACCCCTAAGTAGTATGGATTTACCTGCATATCGCCTCTCCTTCGTTTTTACTTTGTTCTCTCGTCAAAGCCGTGACTAGAACCGCAGCCTGAAGCCCATGAGTCCTAAGCCCGCCCCAGAGCCCTATATAAACCCTAAACCCTAAACCCTAAACCCTATTATAATATAGCCCAAGACGTGTTAAACTCGAAAGCATGGATGAGGACTGGCTCAAGTGACATTGTCAAGTTAGGACAAGGAACTCAGGGGGTTTTCGACTGTTCAGTTCGTGAAGCCGCATCATAGTAGACAGCTTCATACCTAAAGACATCAGTTCATCCGGAGCGTCCAGTGCAGATGGATCCTTAGCATCATTGCTTCCCTTCGGCTGCCGGCTCCACTGGTTTGTGGCAATGCTGCGTGTCAACATGCTTTCAGGCGACTGGGTTCCTGTTAAGGAAGTTAATTTTAACTTACCATAATTAATAAGGAAACCATAGTATTTACTATTGATCTCTGTTATAGTAGCTTAAATTAAACCCCTGAACCCTTAAGCCCTTATAGAACCCTTGATGGATCAAAACTGCGGTAACTTAGATGATTAAATTACTTCAAGAGCCCAGGCGAGCAGGTGGCAAGCTTGCCTCTGGAGGAGCTGAGCGATGTCAAGGACCCAGAGCACCGGAGCCCCATGCGCTGAGCCGTACGAACAAACACCCCACAGCCCTTAAGCCCAAGAACCCCAAAGTAACCCCCAAGAACCTTACAGCCCTTAAGCCCAAGAACCCCCAAAGTAACCCCCAAGAACCCTACAGCCCTTAAGCGCAAGAACCGCAAAGTCTAGACTAGACCCTTACAGAACCCTTAGAGGAACTCGGAAAAGATCCCTTGAAAGCGCCCCAGAGCCCTCAAGGCCTTGAAGCAGCGACTGCATCATTGTCACGGCTTGCCCACGCGCTTCCGACAAAGACTCCTCCTTGACGGCCGCACACTTCCAGACGACTTCAAGCTGCCTGGCTCTCGCTTTCAAGGTTTAGGGGTTAGGGATTAAGGGCTTAGGGTTTAAGGTTTAAGGTTCATGGACTTGTCGATTAAGATTACGATGAACTCATGCGCATTTTTCTTTGGTTATTGGAGAAGGAGTCGCAAAGGGACTAAACCCTGCCCGTAAACCCAAAAAAAGGCTCCCTCAAAGGAGCCCTGGAGGGAGCCCCAAAAGGAACCCCAATCTTTGGGACTTCAAAGCCTAAAGTAGGTATCGATTTGGGATGTTTTTTCCTTTAACTCTATATTGTTTCATATAGAGCCATAAATATGAATAGTTTTGGGGACTGTTGCAATCGACACCTAGCCAACCCAAAACTCCAAGGGTAAAAGGAGGGACCCTTAATAAGGACCCCTAGGTATATACCCTTAGTATAGCTATTATATACCCATGATATAGCCCATTATAGGGTAGGGGTCCCCATTATGGGTCCCTCCTTTTCCCCTTTGAAAAACCCTAGGCTGGACGCCCCTCTGGACCTTGAGCTCCTTCTGCTGAGCTTCCGCGAGGCTCCCACAAGCAAAAAAAATGCTTACTTGGAAGGGTTTCGGGTTTAGCAAGGGTTTAGGGTTTAAGGTTTGAGGTTTCGGATTCAAGATCTATGGAGTTCAGGGTTTATGGTTTAGGGTTCAGGGTTTAAGGTTCCAGCGCCCCCCCCAAGTGCTCTTTAATAGAGCCCTTATGGTCCTCACTAGTGGGTATTTGGGCTCTAGTAGACGGTAGTTGGGGGTCTAGGGATATCCGTACCTTTTTTCGAGTTTTAAGTACTTATAGGTACAGTTGCCATGCTCATAACCTTAGCTACTCAGTCCCATAAGTAGTGGGAACCAAGACAGAGCTATTTTTTCAAGGGGATCCCTTCTACAAGCCCGAGACACCTAAAACCCTTGAGACCCTGCATGCTAGAGACGCTAATTTCCAGTATAAATAAAACCTATCCAAAACCCTATCACCCTAAGTCTAAGTCCCAAGCCCGAACTATCCCTAAATCCTAAGCCTCAAACCTTAAGCCCTAAACCCTGAAATCTAACCCTTGACCCTACTCCGAGGTTTCAGAAGAGCAAGTTCAAGCACTCCTGGCAGCGTGCGAGAAGGGCTCGATTGCTCAGGTGGGATGGTGTCGGTGCTTTTTTTGTGTTGAGTTTCTTCGGCGCTTACCCGGGCTTGATGTTGTTTGTTGAAGGCTTGTGGTGTTGGATCTTTTAGGGAGTTTTAGGGTTTAGCACTCTGTTAAAAGGGTTTTGAAGCGTTTTAGGGTCACCAGGGTGTTTAGATGTGGTTAGTATGTGTAAGGCAAGGGATGTTGGGGTTTTCAGGACCTTTGGGGGTTTTTAGGCGTCTTCAGGTCTATATGAGAATTTCCGAAGATTGGGGACCCTAAGATAGTATATAAGGTACCCCTCATTTTCGGAAACTCCCATATGGTTCAGGGTTTACAGGGTTTAGGGTTCAGGGTTTAATCATGTTTGATCTGAGGCGTACTCATCGCTTGAAACCAGAGTCAACAAGGGCTTAAGCCTCTCGACCCTGCAGATCTCATGTCTCTTCCTCAAAGAGCCCAGCAGCCATTACTGCCATTGTGGAATACACCTTAATAGATATGGGTTTTGTGAACGCTCTCCTTGAGGGTGTAAAGTATCCAATACCGACATCTAGGATGCCCAGTAGTACCCTTATTCCCTTTTTGTCGTCCTAGGTTCCTTATAAAGTTGCCCAATACCAAAAAGAGAGGCCTTTTTATTCTTAGGTTACTGGGTATCCTAGACATTCTTGGGTAGGATTCTCGGCTGTAGGTTTTAAGCAGCCGGAGATAGCGGGAAAAGGGCCTTTGCCTGGGGGGAGTAGTAGGGATTGGGGTTGCGGGTTCAGGGTTGAGAGTTCTTAAGGGTACAGGTTTTGGGGTTTGGGTGGACAATTCAAGAGCTTACCCGAAACCCTAAACCCTAAACCCTAAACGGCCTAAACCCCAATCCCTAAACCGTCAACCCTTAGGGGCTGCGAGGTCGAGTCCATGCTGCAGCTACCTCAAGATCCAGACCTGGGAGACGCTACAGGCCTCAGGCGGCTTTTGCTCGGGGTCGAAGACTTAGTTTCTAAAGTCTCCCTAGGATTTTTTTATTTTTGTTCATATAAAAGCCCAAGAGAACATTAATCATACGACTTTTATTATGGTTCTAAGGGGTTATAGGTTTTAGGCATCGAGGGCTTGGGGTTGAGGGTCCAGGAAACCCTTATAAACCCTAAACAAAACTAAACAAAAACACCGAACCCCAAAGCCCTTGCACAAAATCTGCGCAATCTCCAGACGCCAGGCCACTGCTGAAAGCTGCCGATCGGAATCGCTTTGAAGTTGCTTGGCAGCTGAGCAGGTAACCTTTGACCTTTTGGGGTTTAACCAGTTTATATAATGCTACCATGATAAACCCTAAACCTTCTAACCCTTATATACATCTTACTGTATAAATCCTAAACCCTAAACCTTGTAACCCCCGTATAAAACCTAAACCCTAAACCTCTTTCGGGCTTGGGAAGTCATCATAGGAGGCCAAAAGGGGTTTTAGCCTATCGGGGTTTAGTAGGGATTAGGTTCCCATAGTAGGGTTCATATTAAGAAATCCCTACCCCAAGAATCTTAACCCTAAACCCTAAACCCTTAATACACCCTAAACCCTAAATCCCAAACCTCCTAAGCCTTACATGGAGGATCATGGGACTTAGTAAGTAAGGCTATAAGTCCCTTAATTGGGGTCATACGTAGTTATAAGTATAGTTACCTTACTTATAACCCGGGTTACTAAGTCCCATGATCCTGTTAAGTATAAGCCCTATATAAGTCCTAAGCCCTATAAACCCTGAACCCTCGATCCCAAACCTCCTAAACCTTTTACTAGGACCTAGAGTAGGCCCTTATTCCCTTTTTTAAGGGTCCAGGTTCCCTTATAACTCCCTTTAAACCAAAAAGGGCACCCTTTTTATTCCTAGGCTACTCTTGGGTCTAGTAATCCCTAGATGAGTCCGAAGCTCTGGACCCCTTTTGGCCTCCCATCAGCTCCTGAGGTTGCACAGTTGCTCCTGGAAGCTGGTGCAGACCCGAACGCAGGTTGGGAGGGTGGGGAGGGGTTTAGGTTAGGGTTTAAGGTTTGGGGTATAGGGTTTAGGGTCGTAGGGTTTAGGGTTGAGGGTTTGGGAAGTTTGTGGTTTAAAGGGTTTGGGGTTGAGGGTTCAGGATTTGGAGTTTAGGGTTTAGGGTTTAGGTTTCTCCCAAATGGGGCGGCTGGGCGCCCACGGGCAGGGGTTTAGAGTTTGGCATTTAGGTTTGAAGTAACAAATAAGATGGTTTGGAACTTTTTGGGTTAAGCTTGTTGGGTCAGGGTGCCGCATTGAAGCTCACGGGCTAGACAGGCAAAGATTAGTCCGGGCCTGGAGTTAGACGGATGCAGGGGTATCGGAGATTGCAAAACGTAAAAGTACTAGGATCTCCCAAACCCTAACGGTCCATGTGCCCAAACAGTATACACTTTGGCCTTAAAGTCGTCCCTATGTAGGTACACTGGGGCCAAGCTATATACTATTTGGGCACATGGACCTTTAGGGAAACAGAAGCCTGGGCCCGACGAGTCCTAGTTCTCCAAACCCTAAAACCGACACAAACAACGCAAGCAGCCAAGCACGACACACCATATCAAATTCGGTCCGGCGTATATACACCCGAGCACCTTAGCCTCATAGAGCCCTCGTAGCACCCTGCTCACACCCTTGTAGCACCTCTATGGTTCAACCCGTCTACCATGATTCCCGTGATGCATATAACCTGACCAGGTCCCGCTATAGAACATTTAAACTTAAACCTGACGCCCAAACCCTAAACCCTACACGCCAAACCCCCAAAGAAAGAGAAAAACATACGTACCTCAATGGAATGTCCAGAGGCAACAAAATTCGCATCACCGCGCTGATTATCGCAGCAAGCCGGGGTTTCCTGGACCTGGTCCGGTTGCTTCTGGAGAAACCCTGCAGCTTTTGTTAAGGATGTAAGGGTTCCTTTAAGGAGTCCTGTAACGGATCCTTTTAGGGTTCCATTTCTTAGGGTTTTAACGAGTGGTAAAGGATTTTTCTAGGTGTTCATTGTGTTTGTAGATTAGGGTTTAGGTTTTTCTTGGGGGTTGTCATCGTGTGCTGCTAGGGCCTGGGGCTTAGTGGTTTCTGTTGGGTTTCTAGGTATTCATGGAGCCCTAGCGTTCAGATTGCTATGACTGACTGATCTGTTAACCCAGAGGGTCCATACACACTACCCTTATGGAACTAAGTACCGAAAGACCATCCCTGTTATGGTTTGGGGAGCCTAATTCCAAAAATGGTCGTGTATATGGACCCTCTGGGCAACATCTAACACAGACCGTTATGGCGCTTGAGAGGGTGAAAGTTAGGAGTGTCCGTCAGTTTGAGCTTACATTCGAGGTAGATTCTCTGGGCTTTACTGCTCAGGGGTTGCGGCTTAGGGTTGGCTGCGTTTAGGGTTCACAGTTTGGGGTTTAGGGCTTTGGAGTACTTTGCATGACTACGACGACATGTGGTCCCTATTTAGTCCACTTTCCAAACCCCAAACTCGTTAGGGTTTTGGGTTTAGGGTTTACCTAAACCCTCACTTTTCCCTAGAGGTCTTAACCTAAACCCTACTTGGAGGGTCGGGGGACTTAGTAACTGGTTATTTTAGGGACTTATAAGTACCATAACCCCAATTAGGGTCCCTATTAGGGTACTTATAAGTCTACTTACTACCTACTTTCTAAGTCCCCCGACCCTCCAAGTAAGCACTCCTAGACCCCAAACTTGACAAGTAAGGAAAGGCGCTGACCCTGAAGTGGGTCAGAATCACGACAGCACGCCTTTGCTGACAGCTGCAGCTCAAGGCCAAGAAGTCTCCATGCGCATCTTGATGGTACACCCTGTAGTCTCCTTAGGAATTATTTTTGTTTTTGTTCATATAAAACCCAAGAGAACATTAGACAGATTATTGCTTTTTTTAATGGTTCTAAGGTGGTATAGGATCCGGGCTTTTGGATTCAAAGGAAAGGTTTTAGGCATTTAGGATGGTCTAGGGCTTTGGACTTAGGGGTTTAGGGTTTCGGGTTTAGTGTACTTTGCCTTTTCTGGGATAGCATTCGCCCTTATGGCACTGAAAGCTAAAGCTTTTTTGAGGCTTGAGAATTATGAGCTCGTCAATTAAATTGGTCCTAGACAAGGTAGCCTTTGACTGTTTCGGCTTCAGGATTGGGGCATGGGGCTTAGGAGGCTTACAGTTCGAGGATCCTTCGGGACAGTGTCATGCCTAAAACATAAACCCGAAAGGTTTAGGAAACCCTAAAATCCCGAACCCCAAACACTAAACCCGACGCTCCCACACCCTGCGCTAAACAATAAATCCCACACCAAAGCCCCATATAAGAGCCTTAAGCCCGAAGGCAAGCCTTTACTTACCTTAGATGACTGTAACAGGAGGGACTCTTAATAAGGACCCCTAGGAATATACCCTTAATATAGCTATTATATATCCATTATATAGCCCCTTATAGGTTAGGGGTCCCCATTAAGGGTCCCTCCTTTTACCCTTGGAAGCAAGGTATCTTGCTGGAGGCTGGGGCCAACAAGGACCGGGGTCTCTTAACGTACCTGTGGTTAGTATGGAACGGAAGAATTGTAGTAATAGTAATCATAATTGTATCCCATTTCTCCATTCCCTACTAACCAAGGGTAAGTTAAAGCGGCTTTGCCCTTAGGGTTTGGGGTTCCTGGCTTTGGACGTGTATGCTTCTACAAACCCAACACCGGAAATACCCTAAGCTCTAAGCCCGAAACCGTTAAACAAAAAAACGGAACCGATTTTAGGACGTAAGGGCCCTTAAACCCAAAACCCAAAACCGTAAATCCCTAAGCCCTAATCTCCTAAACCCCCTAAACCCCCTAAACCGCAAACCCTAAACCCCAAACCCCTAAACCCCTAATCTCCTAAACCCCTAATCTCCTAAACCCCAAACCCTAAACGGGGTTTAGGGTTTGGGGTTTAGGGGTTTAGGGGTTGGGGTTTGGGGTTTAGGGTTTGGGGTTTAGGGTTTGGGGCTTTCGGATTTGGGGGTTTAGGGATTAGGGTTTACGGCTCGTGACACAAGGATCGACAAAACTATGACGGGTTCACCGCTCTGATCATCGCAGCTCGACTCGGGTACCTCGAGGTTGTGCAGCTGCTGCTGCTGGGCTTCTGTTAGAAACTTAAAAAATTCAACCAGGGGAAAATGTAACAATAACAATAACCATACTAATGAAAATGACAACAAAACAGTACCAACTAATCATAACCGTACTACTACTACTACTACTACTACTACTACTACTACTACTACTACTACTACCACCACCACTACTACTACTACTACTACTCCTACTCCTACTCCTACTCCTACTCCTACTACGACTACGACTACGACTACGACTACGACTACTACTACTACTACTACTACTACTACTACTCCTCCTCCTCCTACTAATACTACTACTACTACTACTACTACTACTACTACTACTACTACTACTACTACTACTACTACTACTACTACTACTACTACTGCTACCACTACTACTACCACTACCACTACCACTACCACTACCACTAGCACTACCACTACCACTACGACTACGACTACGACTACGACGACGACGACGACGACGACGACGACGACGACGACTACTACTACTACTTCTTGCAGTTAATGTATGTAAGGAACTCGCACAGTTTATCATAGATCCCTATTGTTAAGGAACTTTGTTAAGTTTGCTGGGGATCTCTTTAAGTTACCAAGATAGGCCCTATCTTGGTAACTTAAAGAGATCCCCAGCAAACTTAACGAAGTTCCTTAACAAGACCCAGGCTATGGTAACTTAATCCCTGAACCCTTCAAATCCTCATAGGACCCTTCTAGAAGCCTCGGAGGATCCCGTTCCATGGTAACTTACCCTAAGCCTCCATGTGCGTCGGTACTTACGCCTTAAAGGGGTCCTTATATATAGCTACTTTAAGGCCTATATCGCTGCATGGAGCTTTTGGGTTTAACTGGAGTTCCTCAACACAAACCCTAAGGCTCCATGTACCCTTATAGTAGATACTTAGGCCTTAGAGTACCTATATAGGGACTACTTTGGGGCTTAAGTATCTACTATAAGGGTACATGGAGCCTTTGGGAAAAAAAACACCAGGCTGGACTGGGGTTGCAACGTGGATCTGGCCACGCAGGATGACATCTCGCCGCTCATTGGAGCGTCCCATAGCGGCTGCACTGAGACTGGTCTCATGCTACAGAGCCTAGTTCAAGGTACCAAAATAGTAGCAGGGGTGAGTTTTATTTAGTGTGCTATGTCCTGAAAAGAACCCTCCACGGAACCCAGGAGATCGTCAAGCTGCTATTAGAGGCTGGATGCAACAAGGAAGCGAGGAATCGAGACGGCAACACGGCGCTCATGATGGCAGCTACCGGGCTCTGCAATGTTCTATTGGAGCAGCTTCTTTCTCCTCTGGTGCCCATATAGCAACAACGTAGCAATCTAGCATAACCGTAGACTTCGTGAACGACCCTAAACCCTAAACCCTAAACTCCTAAACCCTAAACCCTAAACCCTAAACCCCTAAACCCCTAACCCCTAAACCCCTAAACCCCTAAACCCTATGCCCAGTTACAGCCCGACGCTGAATTCTTACCCCGCTTCCTTTCTTTTTCTGTCCCCATGCTCCCTAGAGTCTCCATTGTAGTACCCTGGGCCTTTTTGTAGGGTTCCTTTAAAGGGGTCTATAAGGGCTAGTATAAGGGGATCTATAAGGGTACTATAATAATGTACCTAGAGTCTCCATTGTAGTTCCTTTTTTTGGTTACCCAGTTTTATGGTTAGGATCCTATAATAGGGATCTTGGTTAACCAAAAAAGGAGCCACAATGGAGACTATAGGTCGCCCCTGAACCCTAAACCCTCAAAAGCCAGGCTATGCACGGCCATGGAAAAGTTCTGCATGAACTTTTAGAGGCTGGCTGTGACTCGGTTGCGAGAGGGGCGTGTATACTGTAGTTAGAATTTCCTTTAAAAGGAACTCTTTTATTTTATGAGATCCCTATTGTAGAACCCTGTTGTCGAACTCTATCATAGAACCCTCAAAGGTTTGTTTAAACGGGTTTAGGGTCTACCAGCTGTGACTCGGTTACAAACGGTACCCTTGTACCCTCGAAAAGCCACAGGTGTGCCCTAAACCCTAAACCCTAAACCCTAAACCCCAAACCCTAAACCCTAAACCCTTAGAAATTTCTCAAACGAGCACAAGACTCTGCAGGTGGCGCTAAGTTCCTAAACCCTAGATTCAAAACCTACCTTAACCCTGAAGAACCTACCTTTTTAAGGACTTATATAAGGAAATCATGATAGGGAACCCTAAAAACGTACGTTCTTCAGGGTTAAGGTAAGCCCTAAAACCCAAAAGCCCTTCAAACACACGGAGCACGAAGACTCCACAACCCGAAAACGCGAAGCTGGCGTAAGGTGACATAGATGTGGTGAACAAGGACGGCAAAACGGCAAGGATGCTGGCAGATATCGGTAACTGGGCCGAAACAGTATGCAGAAGAATTGCCTTTTTGGTTTGGGACCATCATTTTACCTATGGATGGGCCGTTATCTTCACTTACTTTTGGGGGGTTTAGGTAGCCACGACCACTGCCGCTTCAAGCTGACCGTTCATCAGCGCTGGCTTGACGGTGACGTCTTCTGAGCGGATCTTAAGTCCCGCCTGGACTCCCACGGTATGCAGAACAATAGCTTTTCATAGTTGTTGGGCCACTATTCCACCTACTTTTAGGGGTTTAGGTATGCCTTCAACATCCCTAGAAACCCCGAAACCCTTGAACCCTACCCTAAACGCTGAAGCGTAGCAAGATGCTCTCTCCGTTGCTTTGCCGACCTGCCGAAGGCAGGTGAGCCATGTCTGGTGCAGAAGAAGCCATCAAAGCGTCCAAATTCAGGCGGTTACCCTAAGGATCCATGTACCCAAATAGGGATTCTTTGAGGGTTCCTTTAAGGGCAGGTTTCGGGTTTCAGTGTCCATGTACCCAAATTGTATATTACTTTGGCCCCGAAGTACCTATGTAGGGACTACTTTAGGTCCAAAGTATATACTATCTGGGTACTTGGACCCTTAGGGTTAGGGCTTTAGGGCCTAGGGTTCTTGTACTTACGCCGATGCTAGGGTGTCTAAGAAGTAGTACGCATTGCAGGCCCTTTGGCGTGTCAGGGTCGGGGGTAACATGGGTTCATCCGTGAAGCCTTGAGCATGACCACCGGCGATTGAACGGTGTTCTTCTGAAGCCACGCAAAGACTACACCACTCGCTCGTGGAACTAGTTCGCCAGGTGGTTGCAGTCCTACCATGTGAACCCCCGCGGCGACAAGACTACCGGTCACTACCAGTCACAGTCACAGCAACACTGTCGTCATCATCACCATCATCATCAGCATCATGATCGTTATCATCATAGTCATCACTACCATCATCTCCATCGTCACCATCATCATCATTATCATCATCATCATCGACATTATCATCAATCAGCATGATCATCATCCTCATTATCAGCATCATCATCATCATCATCATCATCATCGACAGCAGTTTCAGCCCTCGCCATCGCTCTGAGCATGACAGTTGGGGATCAACGGCTAACCTCGTTCGGTACATCACACTTTAAGGTTCACGCTCCCGACAGATTTTTAGCAATGGAGGACATTGAGGTTTTTGTCTCACGTCGGGTTGTCTTGACCCCAAATTTGTGTTTCTTTGGGATCGTTGTTTCAGGATGCAGCGCCTTCCGAGTCACAACTTGTCGATTCGGGGGACTTAGTAAGTAGGTAGTAAGTAGACTTATGAGTACCCTAAAAGGGACCCTAATTGGGGTTATGGTACTATTATAAGTCCCTAAAATAACCAGTTGCTAAGTCCCCCGACCCTCCAAGTAGGTGGTTTGGGAGGGATTTTGGATGTCACAGAGCACGTTATGACGAATCGAAGTCAGGGTGATCCTCTATCCTTTTTCAAAGGAGCAACCATCCCTCAACCCCTATAAACTACAGCTAACTTCACCGTCCTTCTAAAAGCCATGCCCCTGCTATCCTAGCCTGCTTTCCCGAAGGCTCCATGTACCCTTATAGTAGATACTTAGGCCTCAAAGTAGCTATATTAGGACTACTTTGGGGCTTAAGTATCTACTATAAGGGTACATGGAGCCTTCGGGTTTCGAAGCCCCCTGCACATCGACTCCCTAGGGCCCCATGTGCCTATATGGGTAGTTATCGAAATTGGGGTCCCCTTTTTGGGTAACCCTAAATAGGGGGATTAGGGGTTTGGGGTTTAGGGTTTAGGGATTATCAACATGAGGGTCCCCTTTTTGGGTACCCTAAATACAAGTATATTAGGGACCCAAAAAGGGACCATCATTTTGATAGCTACCCATATAGTATATACTTAGGTTACTTAGGCCTTGAGGTGCCTGTATAGGAGCCGTTCTAAGGCCTAAGTATATACTATGTAGGTGCATAGAGCTTTAAACGGCTTCCGCCCTAATTGCTATACAACCGTTAAAGGAGCTCTTAACTTTGAAGGAATGCTTGAAGGAACCCTATAGGCACATGGAGCATTAGGGTCTGAGACACATCCGCCCACTGCAGGAGTCGGCCCGCAGGCGTGGCAATCCCAGGGAATGCTGCTCCTTAAATCGTATTTGGGATCCTATGATATTTTTCGGTAGATTCCTGACTCAAGGGCTATTGGAGTCTGCGGGGAGTTGGAGACACAGCATCTCTTTAAGGCTCGGAGCGACGGGAGCGACAAAGGCGGAAGATTTCAGCCTGGGGTCTCCTTACTAAAGCCGAAAAGTACGGCTGATGACATAAATCCTGCACTACCTTATTAAGATCCTAAACTATGGAAATAACGGTATATTCCTTATTCTGGGTAATGCAAGATTTCTATCATGAAAAGTAGGAACAAGGGTGCCTTTTTTGAGGGGCTTTAGGAATCTACTTGTTGCAGGAACCCGGAGCCCACCTCTCGTCTCCATTGTAGATTCTGTTTTGCTTAATCAAACTCGGGGTATAGGATCCTAACCATAGATATTGGCTAACCAAAACGCAGAGCTACAACGCAGACTATACGTAGTTCATCAGAAAAACACTCGTAACATCCTTTTCGAGCCCATACAAGAAGACCGTATACATCCCTTGTGAGGTCCTTGTGAACAAAACATTCTAGAACCCTTGTAGGACCTTTTCGAGCCCCTTTTAACCCTGAAGAAAAGGTTGCCCTTGAAAATCCCCATAAGACCTTGGCAACACTGGTGTACCACGTTACAAAACTTTTGGGGCCAATCCTCAAAACCCTCATGAACGCGCGCAAAACCCTTATGAAACCTCTACAAAACCATGTGCAACCCCTATCAAAACATGAATGACACTCATAAATCCCTATGAGACCCATTTAAGCAGGCTGGATTCCGCCCGCCGAGCGAAGAGCGCCCGGGCCTTGCCACGTGCGAGGTCGAAGAGCCGTGGTCCAAGCAAGGACCAGAAGACCTCAAATCGACACCCAAGCCCTCAACGCACCCCAAAACCTTGAATTCCTACACCCTAGACCCCTCCCCCCTCCTCCCCAATGCCCGATGCATCGTGCATCTCCAGGAGATCGTGACCCAGATCTGCAGGCCACAACGCCATCCTCTTAGGACGGCACTGAAGGCATCACCCGGGTCCATCTATTGGGTTTTGATCGATCGTGGGTTGCATAGGCCTTACGAGGTAATGAGGGCTCACTGCGGGGTTTCTAAGCGTATTTTGCCAATGTTGTTCAACATCTGCTCTCCATGAGTTCACGCAGTGTTTCCGGCAGGTCTTGGAAAGCTTAGTCGGGGAGCAAACCCTGCCGCAGACATAGATTGACAGTTTCAGGAAAAATGCGTCAGCATTTTGGCAGGCTTTGGGGGGTCACGAGATAGATGCTATTGACTATGAATTCGGGCTCTGTCTTTTGGACTCAGGTTTGGGACAACTCTACTTATGCCTTGAGTGGTCCTGAACCCGGAGGCTCTATTACAGCCCTACGTCTTACACGCCGAAGCCTTAAAACCTCAGTCCTGGTAAGTTGAGGAGCATTCCATGGACCGTCGAAACCCGAAAAGGCCCTGGAAGGCTGCCACAGAAGCCTTTGAGCCACTAAAGCTTGCAAGCCCAGAATATAATGAAGATCTACCAAAGCGAAGCTGATAAACCCTTATGAAACCCTGGTCCCGAAACTTAAGCCCTCAACCCCAAATCCTGCAATCTAAACCCTGGATTCATGAAGCCTTGCTTGACCAAAGGGCGCCGCCCCGGCGCGCGACGCGAAGGCCGCCCAGCGCCCGCGCTCGCTCCAGCGGCCGCGGGCCACGCCCAAGGCCGTGAATCGGTGCGTAACCCTACCTATTCATACTAGGATTTAGAATCGGAACCTGCCAAAAAAGTAGGTTTTGGTGGGTTAGGGTACTCAATACAAGGGCCTGAATTCAATTCAGGGTTTGGGGCATTAGGATTCATGACCCCTACCATTACCCTGAACCCTTAATTTATAGTAAGTTTCATAGCCACCCAAAAAACCCTCGGCATCAAAATAGCCCAAAAGCCTTATACAGTCTGGTCTTTGGGCCCAAAAGCCTTGATATTTGAGTCCTTAGATGCCTAGGGAAAGGAACCTTATATAGCAACCCTTCAAGGAACCCAGAGTCCCTAAAACCCTAAGCCCTTGTTGAAGCTGCCCAAAGGAACCCTCAACGGAACCCTTAAGGGTACCCTTAAAGGAAGGCTTTAGGGAACCCTTAAAGGAAGCCTTAGAAGAAAAACCCTTAAAGGAACCCTTAAAGGAACCCTTAAAAGAGCTTTTAAAGGAACCTTTAAAGAAACCCTGAAAGGAACCCTTAAAGGAACCCTTATAAAGGAACCTTTAAAGAAACCTTCAAAGAAACCCGTGGTTATTTCGCCGAACGCCCCAAAGGCGGCTCGGCCCTTGCTGCTCCAAGAGTCTCTGCGCGCGGAGGAGGCAGCGCTTCGTTTGGCCTTAACAGTTTAGGGCGTAGAGCTCAGGGGGTTTAGGGTTTAGGGTTTAGGGGGTTTCGGGGTTTTGGGTTTTATAGGGTTTATACGGTATAGGGTTTAGGGTTTAGTCTGGGCTGAGGTTAAAAAGTGGAAGTTGTGCAGTGAAGGGCTTGGGGTTGGGTTGTAAGAGCTGGTCGTGACAAAGATATCCAGTTTCTTGTGGGTTTGGGGCTTAAGTTTTAGGGTTAGGGTTCTGATTTAAGGGTTTAGGTTTTAGGATGTGAGTGTTTGGCAATGTAGGGGTACCTTGGTGCGGGGTCCTTGCTAAAACTCCCCTACCTTTCAGGCTGATTTTTTCCGGCACCCCTCGTTTGCTATTGCGACAATTCGTCCCATTTTCCTTGCAAGGATCGCAAAGATGAGTCTTTGTTTCCGCCTTGGCCTTCACCGTCAAAGTTTTGGGTGCTGTGGGATGGTTGTGATAAAAGGCGATTCCACCTCCACTATTGCCTCACCACCTCCATCCCAGTGCCGAGGTGTTTCTGTACCCTAAGGGTCCAAAGTACCTTTACAGTAGAATATAGGGTTTCTATAGTAGGAATTATAAATATGATTTGGGGAAGTATCCCCCATAACAGTGCCTAGGACCCTTTGGGG